CCCCAAAACCCCAAAACCCCAAAACCCCAAAACCCCGAAATATCATATATTATTTCATAATTTTTGACAGCCATGAATCGGGTCTCCAAAAGTAATGTTATCTTAACTTTTAGTTCGGTCAAAGTGAACAAAAAGACAAGCTCTATGGAGTTTCTTCAAACAAATATGTCAGGATAATTCACATGTCATCCAGAAAATATTTAGTCTTTCTGATTTCAAAGCTCTGGCTTTCATTCTCAAATTTAGCAGCGAAGTTGAGATTCAAGAGTTGGATTTTTATAATAAACTAATCAAACAACTGAATGCAGAATTTGACATTTATGGAGCACAAATGCTCAGCAACATCCTTTCAGTGTAGCTTCAGTTGTAATATTGGCATAGAAATTCAGGATCGTTTAGTTCACATAACGAAGCTGTGCAGTTTTTGAAAGTAATTACTCTGTTTGATGTATAGAGAAATCCTGGCTTGTTAGCTCACAACAAAGAAATGTTTACCTGTTTATATGATACTTTCTACAAATTCAGGTTTATGTTTACTCAAGGCCAGCTTGAATACATAAACTCGGCATTCACTGAGATCCCAAAGATATCGTCTAAACACACAGACGAAGAGTTCAATGAGCTCAAGCTGAAGTTCATGAAAGATTTGTTCAAAGAATGTAAAAACAGAGAAATCAGGAACACCACAAATGCTCAACTCGGCATAAATCTGCCTCAAAATTACAAGCAAGTTCTAATCTTAAACTCTAGAATTGATTATGACTTCCAAAACAAATTAGTCATGATCAAAGATGAAACTGCCAATAGGACAGTCATCATCAACAGTTCTCTGAATTTCATAGAAGAAAACATCAACTTTGGCAAGAAGCTGATTGATGTATTCAATCCAGAAGTTTTGTTTTGTGAGCTTGCTCCGAAGACCACTCAAATCAACCAAGACGACATTAAGAACACAACTGCTGAGCAAGCTATTCCAATGGATGACCTCGACTCTCTGTGTAGGTGCTGTATTCTGACTATTTGTAGTTGAGGCTCCTGCTCAGAACAAAGATTCAAACATTCAGTCCAGCCAAGCGTTGGATTGAGTGTCTTCGAATCTCAAAGGAGGCAGAAACTTCAAAACAACTCATTCGATGCAAGGAGATGAACTACAAGACTATTTCAACACAAAAGTTGTTGACTCAATGTCTGAGGTTAATCTCGAACAATCAATGGTAAACCTCAAAGTTGGAGACCACCAATACCCTCTTGACATGCAAACTTACATTTATTATTTCACCAAAAAGTAAGCTTTGTGATTAGGCTTAGGTTCAACGGAGAAGTTGTGTTTGCAGACCTTCATGAAGATGAAGCTGCACATCACTTTATCACTTCAACTTCAGAGAGCAAAAGACACAGCATCAAAGAGTTTGTTAAATGGATGAGCACTTTGTCAATATCTTCATGGCACCTTAGCATCAAGAACTACGGATGAGCACAATGCAGCTCTTTCTTAGACAAGCAGAATATAGAACAAGAGCCTCTTCCGATCGCAGCATTTGTGAGTCAGAAATGAATCAGCAGTGAACTCCGAGAGAAACTGATGGCATTTCAAATTTACACACATATGATTGATCCAAAATACAACAAGAAATACAAAGAAGACCAAATCAACTTCATTGCTTTTGTCAGAACCATGAACTATCTCAAGGTTGCAAAATACACTTGAGATTTCCTGAGAGATGCCGGTCTTGCAAAGAAATTTGAAGCAGAGTTCATGAAGAGTTACAGAAATGAGAACTCATCGTCTCAGTTTTGGAACGACCTCACCGTATCTGATACCAAGAATAGGCAAGAACTGATCAAGAAATGGAGTTTATATCATTCTTTGCTTGTGGTGCCACAACACAACACTCCGTATTTCAAAATGACTGAATCGGATAAGCTTCTTACTGAAGCTTATATTCTAAAATCATTTCAAAAGCAGACGCTGACATCACATGTGCCCTCGGTCAGAGATATCCCCATGGATGTTGAGAATGAAGACTTCGAGCCTTCGTATGTTCCCCAAATGAGGATTCACTCTCACCCTCAGAATGATTACGAGTGGTCTCAAAACCAGTTCTTGCAACAGAAATACTTGGAAGATGGAGGAGTCGCCACTTGTGGTCCTTTGAATTATATCCAGCAGATCATCAACACACAAGACTCTAAAGAGAAAGCTTTGAGAGACTCTGGCTACACCATTGCTGCTATTGATAGAGCAAAGGATGAGTTTGACCCAAATATCATTGATTGTGAGTCAGATGGTGAATAGATATTCAAGTATTTTCATTCTATAATCAGATAAAGGGGTTTTGGGGTTTTGGGGTTTTGGGG